AAAAATATATGGGGATGTGAAAGGAGCCCCAGATCAATCTTTCCTTATGTAGAAGGATTTCCCGTCACTTTATATGCCTGTTTGTATGAATATGGATTTAATTGCATATTAAAAACAACAGTTAAAAAAACAAACAAACCTAACAGTATCATGCTGCTACTCACAAGAGTTAGCGTAAGGCATAATCCTATAACAGGGATCGGCAATCTTTGGCACGCGGCCCATCAGGGTAAGCCCCTGGCAGGCCGGGCCAGTTTGTTTACCTGCCGCATCTGCAGTTCGGCCGATCGCAGCTCCCACTGGCCGCAGTTCGCCGTCCCAGGCCAATGGGGACTGCAGGAAGCGGCGCGGGCCGGGGGATGTGCTGGCCGCCCTTCCGGCCAAAGGTTGCTGATCCCTGTCCTATAAAGTCACAGCCTTACATGGGAAAGTTGCACTGGTATAAACCCTACGTGTGAATTTAAACCAGGAGTTTTCAAACTGGGGGTCCCTAGCTGTCAGCCTCCACTCTCAAACCCCACTTCACCTCCAGCATTTATAATAGTGTTAAATATAAAAAAAAAAGTTTTAATTTATAAGGGGGAGGAGGGTTGCACTCAGAGGCTTGCTGTGTGAAAGAGGTCCCCAATACAAGAGTTTGAGAACCGCTGATTTAAACTGATATAGTTAAACTGATGCAAATTCCTCAGTAAAAACTCTTCAGTATAAGAATGGCTTCTTCTGGTTTAGTTTAACTCGACTAAGAACAAGATTAAGTTAAATTGAAATGAACCACTTTTAAAGCAAAATAAGAGCATCTACACTGGCTTTGCACCAGTCTAAGTATATCAATTTAAAAAACAGATTTAAATTTAACTTGTGTAATTTTCCAGTGTAGACAAGTTCTAAATCAGGGGTTCTCAGACTTTTGTACTGGTGACCCCTTTCACATAGCAAGCTGCTGAGTGTGACCCACCTTATACATTAAAACACTTTTTAATATATTTAACACCATTATAAATGCTGGAGGTAAAGCGGGATTTGGGGTGGAGGCCGACAGCTCATGACCCCCCATGTAATAACCTTGTGACCCCTGGAGGGGTCCTGACCCCCAGTTTGAAAACCCCTGTTCTAAATCAAATAAATGTGCCAGTCCTCCTGACTGAAAGTTGCTCAGTGTGGGCTCTGAGAGACTGCCAAAGAGACTGAGTTCAATAATAATTCTGTTGTTAATGTTGTCAAGTTCCACTTCAGAAAATGAGAGCAAGAACAATCCCTCCAATACTGACTGATGTGGTGGGGTACCAGGTGAGAGACAGGCTCTCTCATGAGTTGGTCCCAGATGATTTTAGGTCAGCAACACTTTGAAATAGTCTTAGAAGTACATAAAAGGTCAATGCCAAGCTATCAGCATTCTGTGCTCACAACAGCTCACTCCATAGGCATTTGAATGCATAGAAAGCAGTTTACAGCAACACTGGATTTTGTCAGAAAATCAGCTCATATCACAAACTACCAATCATTACAAACTCACAGATGAGTCTGTCAAATCCGGCAGATGCTAAAGTGGCTCCATTAGGATGAAATTTGCAACAGTAAACTTCTCCTTCGTGTCCCGAGAGCAGCATTATGGGTGCCTGGAGGGAGGAACATCGTGGAGGGCCCTAAAACACAAAGGAGATGCAGAGAGAGATAATGAAACCCATGAACCAGAATGTATGTGGTGTGGGGAAGTAGGACAGAAAAAAAATCATAACTCCCTTACTGGTTTTACTACGCTAACATTTCCACTTCTCTGTCCCCATTTACCAAAGAATCTCAAAGCACATATCAAGCCTCACAACTCCGCTATGGGGCGGTAAGTACTGTTCCCATTTTACAGATGTGGAAACTGAGGCACGGTGCGGTGAAATAACTTGTCTAAAGTCACATCGCAAGTTGGTGTCAGTATAAACATTACAACCGTAGGAACGACACGATGAAACTAAACCAGACTATAACAGGAGTCCAGAGACCGGTGCTGGGTAACTGCTCCCCTGCCCCCAGGGCTCTCTTGTGAGGGGTTCAAGTCTGCCCCCCCTTGCTCAGGGTGCATGGGAAGGCGCAGAGGGAGACAGGGAAGGAGCTGGGGACGCTGCGGGGCACAGACACGGCGTCGAGCGCCTGGAGCGGCCCGTCCCGGCAACGGGAACCCGGGGCCAGGCTTGGCACTGAGTGACCCCCTCCCCCGCGAGGGGAGAGCACGTGCTGTTGGCGGGGGACACAGGGAGGGCCCGTGAGGAAGCGGGGGGCGGCGGCGGGGGCAGGGACCCTGGGGCCGGGACTCACCGCCTGCAGCAGGGCCCCCGGAGGCGGCGGCCCCCGGCCCGGGCCGGGCCCCAGCAGCAGCTCGTGCCGGGGCCGCTTGGCCGCCGCCGCCACCAGCGCCAGCTCCGGGCCCGGCCCCTTGCGCTTCTGCTGCTCGATCATCGCCGCAGCTACTCGGCCTCGGGGCTCCGAGCCGAGCTAGGCCTCAGAGGTTTGACACCGGAGCAGCCAAGCTCCGCCCCCGTCCTCCACCCATTGGACGGAACTGCCCAGTTTCCCCGCTCTGATTGGTTGCGAGCGCCCACCGCGCCACCACCTTCTTTTCAGTGCGCTGATTGGGGAGAGCGGGCCACGCTGGGAAGCGGATTAGCGGAGGGAGTTCTAGCATCGAGCGCGCCCATTGGCTGCGGGGGTGACGCTCAGGAGCATGCTGCGTGGTGATTGGCGGGTGCCGGGTTCCTCAAGCTAGGTTGTACCGGGGCGCGGGCGGGATAGTGGTGACAGAGGCGCCCTGGGGTGAGTGAGGTCGGGGGGCAGCGGGGCTGGCCGGGGGCTCAGTGGGGGCAACTCGTCACCCCCCATCCCCTGGCTGCGGCCCGGGGCGCTGCCCGCTCGGGCTGCGGGGCACCTGCTGGCCCCGGTTACGGCCCGTGTGCTCGGCGCTGTACAGACCCAGCTGGCCCCGCCCCGGGGGCTCGCCGGAAGTGTTCGCTGTGGGCGCTGGGCGGTATCGAAGAGGGGACGGTGCGGCCAACTGTCGCCCTGGTTGTGTTTCGTGTTTCCCGCGAAGCCCAGCTCGTGGAGCCAGGGAGGAGCCTGGAAACGTGACCCGAGGGCAAGCGGAAGGGGGAGAACCGGCGCGCAAAGAAAAAGCCTCCCAAACGCGGTGTCCCGTCCCGCACGGGCGTGGCGGGTTTTAAGCCGTTCTAGTGATTTGGGGGCTCGGGACT